ACCAATCCCGACCTTAGAAAAAGAACATAACCAAGGAAACATTGATATTGGTATTCTTGGGGAGTCGTCTATGACAAACCCGAAACTGTACACTTATGCTGCAGGTCAGAGCAAGATGCATATTAGTGCGCTTTTATAGCTTTTTCAAATCCTTTATCTTTTTGGTAGTGAAACATATTGGTTTGATAATATAGAGGTGATTTTAGTGGTAGTACAGTAGTAGGTGAATTTATAGCAGTTATGAAACTTCCTTGAGAATTAACTCAAAAGGCTATTTTCTACTTTTCCGCTAAATTTAAACACTTTATATATCATCAGGCCAAGCAGACATTACCAGTTGGTATCACGTCAGCTAAAGATCATTGCGCTGCTGCTACATTGTCGGTAAACTGGTTTCTTGGCATCGTAGAGGAGGAAGAGGGTCCACAAGACGTTTATTGCAGATTAAGTTCTATCCCAAACCACTTGAAATCTCTTCCCTTTTATTTTAATTTTATTTCACTGAATGACTTCTGCGCACTTACAAACCATCTTCATAGGATAAATTGAAGAACGCCAACATACCTCCAATAGAGGGAGAAAGGTGACAACGTCTCCTGGGGTTTGGTAAAGTAAGACAAACCATAAATCATACGGGTAACAGGTGCAAATGGTAGCGCTTGCTCGCTGACCAGCCCTGTAAACAGGAAGTGAGCCATTTTTATGACTCACAAGGGGTTACAGTTACAAATTTTTCTACTACCCCCTGACTACGACAACAATGAGAAACACCAATTATAAACCAACATTCTAACCCTGTACGCAATACCATCGGGCTTTGTAGCCCCCCTAGCTAACGAGTGTTGCCTAATATACCTAGGCTTACACAACCGTGGGGTGAGCGAATTCAACGTTCATTCCTGTCCTAATTTTCTTCTTTCTTCCCCCTAGTTATAAAATGATTATGGCTAGAATTCCAGTCATTTTGAATAAAAACTCTATAGTTTTTCTGCCTTCTCTATTTGATTGTTTGCGATAGCAGAACCCAATTTACCCCTCAGATAACTCGTACTCGATGCTTCTCTTTAAACCAGATTTCCTCAATGGAGCATTCTGTCTCTTGATTCTGAAAGTTATATCATACTTTTGATGGAATTTTTCCATTGCCGTTAGTTTGATAAGCCCGAAAAATTAGCCCATAAAATAATTACTTTATCTATAGTACGCGATATTTCTATATATAAACGAGTGTGTATGCCTCCCTAGCTGACAGTCGCCATATATTTTTACCCCCATGAGACTCGGGTGTATTACTAGATAGATGATCACTTCTACCTGACCATTAGCGTTTTTCTTCCTCAATTTATTGTATTATATCAATAACTTTTCATATTTTTCATCTCTATTCATCCCTATGCATATCTGCGCTTACGTTGTCATTCTACGGAAATGTATTGTAGTATGTTCCAAACGGGGAGAAGACTCGGAGGTTTTGAACGAATTTATATTGATGCAAAGCGTAGCAACACTATAGGAATATGGGATGGTTATAATACAAAATGGTAATGTTATGTGTGGGTACTGTTTTGGTTTGAGCTCTCAGTGTCTTCTATCACAGTGTCAGGTGCCACACAGTTTGTACAGCCTGCAAAGGAAAATGGAAGTGGTTGTTAACGGCAATTCGGTGTTCAAATACTGAACGTCAATCAGTTTCGATTTCACACTNTTCACACTAAACTATCCCCTGCTCCCGAAAGCGTCGTTTTTGACCTCCTACTAGAACCTCCTTTAACCGGTCCTTCTACTTCAACAGCAACCTCTGCCGGGTTCGCAGTGTCTTCGCTGTTATCTGTCTCGGGCGAGGCGTGTAGTAGGTACGGTTTGATTTGGTTGAAGTATGCTACGAAGGATGGTTGCGCCGATCCAACCTCCCGAATGACACAGTTTGTTTCCGATAGTACTCGTTCTACCACAGACGGTCTGCACCATTCTTTGTAAAGTTTTGTTGGTAACTCAGGCGTCGTCTGTGTTTTGTGGAATCATGCTCGGTCACCTGTCTTCAACGGGGCTCCGAAGCAATTCTTATCGTAATAATCCTTCTGGTACCTCTGCAATGCTTCGAGGTGGGTCCGAGCCATCTGATTCGCTGTTCTTAGTGGGTCGATCACCTTTGATACATACTCTGTGACCGTCCATGACTGATGATCAATCGTTGGTGGTCGGTTATCGCTCGTCAGTCTCATCTCTCTGCCAGTCCACAGGAAGTGCGGCGTTTGGCCCGTAGATCGTTGAACCGTACTGTTGTACACGAGGAGGCAGTGTGGTGGTGTGCTGTTCCGTTCTTTGGGGTTGGTGTCTGTGAAGGCCTTTAGTAGCGCTTTTAAGGAAAGGTTTGTTCTCTCCACCTGGCCACTGCCCTGAGGGTGATAGGCTGTTGTTCTAATCTTATCTATTCCCTGGGCTTTACACACTTCCCTCAGTAGATCGTTCTCGAAGTTCGTTCCACAGTCCGAGTGCAGTTGACCGGATGAACCCCATATGTAAACCCATCTGTCAAGTATCGCATCCATCACGGTCACAGCGCCAACATGTTTTAGTGGTACGGCCTCACACCATTTGGTGAAGTAGTACACCAATACAAGAATGTATCTGTGGTCCATTAGCGTGTCCGGTAGGGGTCCAATTATGTCGACGCCGACCATTTCGTTTGGGTATCCGGCAGTGATTGTTTGGAAAGGTGCCTAATAATGGTGGGACGGATTTTTGAAACTGCCGCAGAGTTCACATGTGTTGCAAACATTTGCCACGTCCCTATTTATGTGTGGCCACCAAAAGCGTTGTCTCGCTGCAAACTCCAGTTTTTTGATACTCGCATGCAGGTCTTGCAGGACCTCACGAACCAATGTTTGCGGTACCACTACTCGTGATGTTAAGTCTGGACCGTAGTGAACAAATATCACTTCCTCTGTCATTTTCAGCTGATTCCACATCGACCAAAAGCACCGAGTTTTGTAGCTTTTTCCCTCCATCTCTCTGCTTGTTGGTCGATCACCGTCTGTGCGAACTCGATCGTTGTTTCTGGATCATTCGCCCGTATTCCGCGCGTTGCAGCTATACTGTTGCTACGTATTGATTGCTGCATGTTGGAAAATTGTCATGGTAACGGGCGGGGCGCCGAGATAGGGCGTCGGCGTTACTGTACTGTTTTCCGGGTCTGTGGAGGTATTCGGAGTCATATTCCTGTATTATCGCCTGTATTGCGCCAATTTCTGTGTCGCTGGCATCTTTGTCAGGAATAAACTGCCCAGTTGACGGGGCCGTGTCAGGGAGTATCAAAATGGGTGCTGAACAAAGGAGTTTTTTCAGTGTTTGAAATGACTTTTCGCATTCGGCGTCCCATCTAAATGGTTTGCTTTTTTCCAACATCGCGTGTAAGGGAGACGCGATTTGAGCAACGTTGGCAATGAATCGTCTGTAGTAAGACGTTATACCTGGGAAGCTTCTGACTTCTTC